GCAGGGCCAGCCGAGTGGCACATTGGTTAAGAGCTGGCTTGGGACACCAGAGGGTCCCAGTTCGGATCCCACATATGAGGGCCAGTGACACTGCCCTTTACAGCTAAGATGCTGAACAGCAGTTCAACTTGGAGCTGGGCTGCCGTGAGTCGCCAGTGACAGCGTAGGCTGCAACCCCTGCTGCAGTGGGTTGCCATGGGCTACCGTGTGTAGCCAGCAGCCGCAGTGAGCAGCCATCCAGAAGCCAGCAACTGATCTTCCTCACCCGGGAAGAGCGCAATGATGGTGCCAACTTGGGCCAGGGAAGCAACGTCCTCCACAACTAGACTGAAGAACAAAAGGACAGCAACTTGTCTGTTCCCCTTCCCCAATTCCCCAATAAAAATCTTAAAAAAAAATTAAAATGCAGCTTGAAAAAAAAACCAAGTGGGGCAAGGATGAGGATGGAGGAAGGGGGGCCACTTCCACAGTCTGTCAGGGGTGGGTGGGCACAGCCCCCATGGAAGGCAGCAGGGCCACTCCTTGAAAAGTAGAAGGGCTTCCTCCCACCCAGGAACCCACCCCTGAGAACAAACCCAAGAGACCCTTGCACAGGAGCCTTAGGAGATGTACATACGTGCACTGAATGCTCACTGCAGCACCGCTGGCATTACCAAAACTGGCAATGAGCTAAATGGCCATCCATAGACTGATACACAGACTGCAGTTTATTTGCCCAGTGGAATATTATTACATAGCAATTAAACAGATGAACTAGAGCCACAAGTGTCAACATGGATAAATCTCAAAACCAGTGCAGAATGAACAAGTGCAGAAAGACTTGCACAGAAGGCTACCTTTAATAGATGGGGGTATAAAATGGAAAACAATCCCCCATATCATTCATGGATGTATCCCTATGGATTAATAACAAAAGCATAAAAACAGACTGACACACATTCTGAGAGTGTTTGCCTCAAGAGAGGGCGGAAGGGAAAAGGGATCACGGAGAAGACTTCTGCTACAGGCATAAGATGCTATGTCTTTAAAAATGCAAAGATCTGAAATAAACATGGTAAAAAGAATCTGACAGAGCACAGTAGTGGGTACATAAGTGTGCGTTATTTTTCTCTTTATTTTTTGTGTAGAGTTAAAGTATGTCTTAATAATAATGAAAATAATAAACTGGGCTTGGAAGATAGACAGGTAGAGCAGAGGCATAAGGCTGACAGGGGGGAACCCCGGCCATGCAAGCACAGGGGGGCCACCTCATCAGCCCCCTTCCCAGCACTGCTCCCACCAGTCTGGGTGGGTAACTGACCCCTACACATTTTCCTGGGGTTGCTGTAGCTGGGACTGTGAGCTCTGAGCTTCTCTGAGGGAGAGCGGAGGGAAGGGTCAGCTGGTGCCCCAGCATGGAGGAGGAGGAGGAGAAAGAGAAAGCGCACATGGGAGGAACATGCCCAGACCGTGGACAGGCCAGCCACGCATGACTCAGAGCAGCCACAACCCCAAGACCCCTACAGCAAAGCAGAGGTCAGGAAGGCTGGGCTGACATGGGGCGCCCTACACACTGGGGCACCAGTAGCCTGGGCCTCCCAGGGCTCTGCAGACTGGGAAGAATGCCCAGAACATGTTAGGACTAGGGACGACCTTGGAAGATGGCTAGAACTGAAACCACAAGCAAGGAGCCAATCAAAGGTTGATGGAGATGGGGAGACGGGCTATGCCAGCCCAGCCTGGGGGTCTCGAGTCAGCAGGTGAAGGGGGAGTCAGCCTGGAACTGGTAGTGGGCTGTGGGGAGAAGAGGGAGAGCCCACAGTTCCCAGCAATGGCTAGCCCACCCCAAGATGGCAGGACAGGGGCGGCTGAGTGGCTTAGTTGGTTAAGAGCTCACTCAAGAGTGTGAGCTCTGAGCAACGGGGCTGCCAGTTCGATTCCCACATAGGGCTGATGGCAGGATGGCTCAGCTGGTGTAACAACAAGATTGCCTGTTTGATGGTGGGCTATGCCCACCCGCAACTAAGGCTGAACTGGGCACCTTGAGCTGAGCTGCCACCCGGATGGTTCAGTGCATAGGGCACGTGCTCTTAACAGCAAGGCTGCTGGTTTGACTCCCGCATGGGATGGTGACTATGTCCACCCTCAACTAAGATTGAACACAGCACCTTGAGCTTAGAGGCCACGAGCTGCCAATGGGAAGCCAGATGGTGACTGGAGCCCTCCACAGTGAAGACTGAAGAACAACTTGGCTGGTCCCCTTCCCCAATTCCCCAACACTGTTCCCCTCCCCATTTCCCCAATAAAATCTTAAAAAAAACAAAAATAAAAAATAAAAAGATGGCAGGACAACATTGGAGGGGGCGTGGCCTCAGGACACAGCCATCTCTTGACAGCCTCTAGCCAACTTCTGAAATGCCTGCCATGGCCCCACGCCCTTGCTGGGACCTCCCCCAGGGCCAAGGAGTTTGCAGAGGAGTCTGGGAACAAGGAGGGCCAGGACTCCCAGGTGTAAGGCCAAGCTCCACCTTTCTCTTCTCTGGACTCAACTGAAGAGGTTGGAGTTCATCTCTTGTCCAGTTCTAACCTGCCAGCCACAGGTCCACACAGAGACCTGGGTCTGTCCTGGAAGGTTGGCTCTTCTCAGGTCCAAGCAGGGCCACAGTGGGGCCTCTGCCTGCCTCACCACAACACCACAGGCCAGGACCTGGGGCGGAGAGGGTCAGAAGATGCAGTAGGCTGAGTCCCCTCTTCCATCTCACAGAGCTAGCTGGGCCCAGCAATGACATGGGGGCCACGGGGCAGCTCCCAGATCCTGGGGAGAGCCCTGTTCACAAGCTTTGGGGAAATGAAGAGGAAGAGAAAGGAGGGAGTGGGAAGGAATGATGGAAAGGAAGGCAGGAATTCAAAGGAGCATTTGTTCTGCTAAGTGGCTTTTTTGTTGTCAAAAATTGGCCCCAAACTCTGTCTCCACTAAAACTCTAGGGCAAATCTTCCTCTGCCACACCCTCTTCCCTGTACCACCTGTCACACCACAAAGCTGAGTGCATACACCTCGACACACCCACATACTTTCTCCTTTCAGCCGCAGTCCCCTCTCTGCCCTGGCGCAGCCCACCCTCGGCACCCTCACCACTTTCTCTCTTACTAAGTTCTTCCCAAGGATTCACCTAAATCCCTCAACTAGAGCAGAAATCTGCCCCCCTCCCCATCAGCAGCTACTAAACTCTCCTATTTCTCGCTGCAGGGGACCCCCAAGGCCCCTTTCTCCACCCACTCATAACCTTCAGGACCCAGGGGCAGGCATGGTCAGAGCTGTCTCTCCAAGCAGAAGGCCTGCACCAGCACCTGAAACCCCCAGAACCTGGGCCCAGTGCCTTCAAGGCTGGGCTCCACCAGAGGACACTGGTGGGTCACATCAACAGGACCCAGAGCAGCCAGGCCTGAGAAAGGAGGCCGGGGCAGGAGGCAGCCTGAGGAGAAGGCCGATGCACAATTTATTCCTCACACGTATACAGGGCACCCACTATGGCAGACGCTGCAGGTAAAACAAAGTGAATAAACTAGACAGAAGTCCCTGTCCTGGTGGAGCTGACATTCTAGTGGGAGAGACCGATGATAAACAGGTAATTAAATTACATGCAGTATGTCAGATTTATGCCATGGAGAAAAGAAGGCTGGGGAGGGAGATTTGGGGGAAGAGCAATTTTATTTTGGGGGGATCAGATACTGTCCACTGAGGATATGAGACCTAAAGCCACTGACAGCATGAGCCATGAGGATATTTGGGGTAAGAACCTCGCAGGCAGGGGAACAAGTGCAAAGGTGCAGAGGTGGGGTCGTATGAGGAACAGCGGGGAGGCTGGTGTGGCTGGAAAGAAAAAGAGAGGGGCAAGGGGGAGGGAATGAGGTGAGAGAGGCAGCAGGTCAGACGGTACAGGGCAGAGGGGTCTCTGCTGGTGAGGACAGTCCAGTGCCAGAGGCAGTTCCCACACATCCACGCATTTCCCCTAAGACCCCCAAGCAAAGCCCCCATTCAGAGGCCCGTGATGGAAGCAAGAGGAGAACAGTGGACATGGTGGGGCCCCTATGCAGGCTGGGAGGAACCCCCCCATCTTCTCCACACTCCAATGGATGGGCAAGGCCCACAGCAGACAGCCAGCCAAGGAGGCCACAGGATTATCTTCAATCCCGCTTCCCTCCCAGCAACCCTCTGGAGGACAGCTAATCTCTCCCCAGAGGGGCAGCCACGTGGGCAGACAAGGCGGCAGTGGCCTGGCGTGTTCCTGCCTGCTCCCACCCTGCCTACCACGCCCAGGATCGTCTGTGTGACTCTCCCAGCCTCATCAGTAATCACAGTAACACCTTACTCTGGCTGGGCACAGTGACAGCAGGGAATCTTTTCATTCTCACAAGGGCCCTCCCACCTGAGAGGCGGAGCTGAGGAGCCCACTGACCACAGAGGACACAGAGGCCCTCAGGAGGAAGGCATTTGCTCACGGTCGTCGCTCAGCAGAGCCAGGTCTGGGCTCCACGGCTCTCTAGGGCAGGAGTCATCTACACCACATGGGGGTGAGGACACAACTGGGGTCAGGAGAAGGGACCGAGAGACCATCAGGTCCGATGCCCTCACCACACAGATGAGGAGTCAGCAGCACAGAGAAGGGCCTCCTAATGCCTGAGGGAATTCTCTTTTCCTCCCTGTTCCCTCAGAAAACGCCCAGTCATACAGACAAAGAAAGCCTTGTGGCTGGTGGGGAGTTCCAGGGAGAATGGGCCCCTGGCAAGAAATGGGTGTGCCCCTGAGATGTGGGGCGTGGCCCCCAGAAAATGAAGGGAGAAGTCACCAGTGCCAAGATGGCAGCAGTGCAAGCAGATGGGGGACCCACAGACAGCAGTCTGACCCAGCCCGTTAGGGCTCAATGCGGTTGAACGAGTTCAGTCCCAGGTCCAAGGCTCAGCAGCCTGGGGGAGGTGGGGGGGAGAGAGAGAGGAGTTTGCAGTGGGAGGGGAGGTCTTACCTCTGAACTTCTTAGGGGGGTTGTCCAGGTCCCCAGCTGCAGGCTCCACCACACAGCGGTCATCCACCAGCCTGGGGGACAAGGCAGCTCAGTCAGCGGGAGAAAAGAGACCCATCTCCTCACAGCACCCCTCAGTCAGGGCAGGGGATCCCAGGGCACCAGGGAGGCCGCCAAAGAAACCTCTCCATCACTGACAAACCCCTCACCATTGTCATGCCCTTTCCTGGCACCATGGTAAAAAGACAAGATCTCTTGGGGTGGGGATGGAGAGCCCTCCGAAAAAGCAGAGACACACCCAGCCCACCCTGACACCCTCATGTCCTGTGGGGGTCTGCTGTCCGTCTGGGTTGTCACCGACACTACAGATGTAACTCCTGTGATGGCCCTGAGACCCTGTTGCCCAGACCTGAAAGGGCAGTGGGTGATGGAGGATGGAGAGAGAAAGGGACTACGAGAGACAAAGTCAGAAAGAAAAACAAAGAGTGAGAGAGAGAGTCAGAGCATATAGGGAGGGAGGGACGGAGAGACAGAGAGAGAGGGAAAAGACAAATAGAGGCAGAAAGATAAATAGGACAAGAAACAGGCAGAGAGACTGGAGACAAATGGACACAGATGAGAGCGGCTTATGAGACACCGAACTAGGGGGACAAGCCTTTGGGTCTCAAAGACAGGACAATAAACCTTGTTACACCTGCCCATACTCAGGCCACATTTCATACTCTTCTCTTTGACCATCGTTAGGCCTGAAATTCCCCCTCTTACAGCCATGGCTGGGGTTAATCTTCAATCTCTGGAGGACATCCACCCATCCACCCACCAATCCATCCACCCATCCATCACCCACCTACCCACACATCCATTCATTCCATGCCTCTCAGCCTCTAGAATAAAGTAATAACGATAGCCCATCATTTCAGAGGCCAGGTCTCTATCTCAGCACTTCACAACTGCTACCTCTGAACTCTCACCAACTTACCACCCACCCCAAGGGGCTAGTCATTAGCACTACTTTACAAAGGAGAAAACTGGGTTTGAAAGTTAAACAATTTGCCTGCAGTCACAGAGCTCATTCTAAAGCCTCCTTCTGCTCCTCTCCTCCCTGGGCTGGCTAACCTGACCTCCACCCATTCCCTAACCAGCCTCGCACTGCCTTGCGCTAGCCATGCTAAACCTCCAGTTGATCCCAAGGTCCCTGGAGCTATCACCTCTACAGAAATGGTCCTGGCAGCCTGCAATGCCCTTCATGCCCAGCGCACCCTGGTTCCCCTCCCACCCCCAGACTTCCATTCTTTCTTCCACCCTCGGCCCTCCTACTCTGTGAAGCCTTCCTTGGCCAGTGCCTCCCCACCCTCTGGGCCCCCACCCCACCCACAGCACGTGGCCCTGGCCTCTCCTGCGGCCATGTCTCTTTCTACCGTGACTACTTCCCGTGTTGACACGGAGTTCCTTCGAGGTAGGGCCCTGTGTTTTCGCTTTGGCATCACCAGCGCTTGGCACAATGCAGCCCACAGTAATAACAATAGCAAATAGTATTTTGTTTCTAATGTTTTCATATCTTGTTTTTTAATTTTCTAAATCTACTTTGTGATTATTCGCATTTCACAGGCCGAGAAACCAGAGTAGGGAGAGGTTAAACAATCTGGCCAGGGACACGACTAGCGGGCAGCGGGGCTGGGCTCTGAAGCCAGGCTGTGCTGTGCTGTGTAGGGCCTGTGGGGCCGCGGTGACCTGGAGGGGAGATGGCCGCTTCTCTGCGAGGCCTTTCTCAGTCACCTTCCCTGTCCCCAGCCTCCAGGATTGGCTCTGTCCTTGGCCCTCTCCCCATCTCCATCTGCATTCACACCCTTGGTCATTTTGGTCATACTCATGGGGTTCAAAGTGCCACTTACATACACTCACCGATAATTCCCACACCCCTCTGCCATTCCCCTCTCCCCAAAATCCAGACTCATAGATCTCACTGCCTACTCCACATCTCCACTTAGCGGTCCACAGGCACCTCAAACTCTGTAGTTCAAAACTGAGCTCCTGGTCTTCCACTAAATGTGCTCCTCTTGAAGTTCTCGCCATCTGATGGCAACGCCATCCTTCCAATTGCGTGGGCCAAAAGCCCTGGACCAGTCATTGGCTCCTCTCTTCCACTCACTCCTCACACCTACTGTCAGGAAACCCTGTGGGCTCCATCTTCAAGATACGTGCAGACTCCGACCTCTTCTCATCACTGTCACCACCAGCTGGTCCCCACCAGCTCTCACCTGGATTTCAGTAACTGCCTCCTCATTGGTTCCTGATGACCCCCCTCACCACCACCACCACACAGCCTGTTCCCCACACAGCAACAGAGGCAAGTCAAATCAGAGCAGTGCTCTGCTCAGAACCCTAGAATCACTCATCTCAGAGTAAAAGCCAAGAACTCACAATGGCCTGAAAGACCCCACATAGTCCAACCCTCACCTCTCCGACCTCACCTTCTCCCCTTGCCCCTGAGTCCACTCTGCTCCAGACACAGCCCTCCTCCAGGCCCCTGAAAGCTTCCAGGACATCTGGCACTGCTTTTTCCCTCTGCCTGAAAACCTCTGCCCCTAGATACCCTCCTGGCTCCCTCCCTCACCTTCAGATTTTGGCTCAAATGACCCATCCCCCTGGACACTCTCCCCCCCCCGATCCTTTTTAAAATTGTAAATTGCTCTTTCCCACACTCCTTATCCACTTCCCTGTCTCACTGTTCTCCATAGCCTGCTATATATTTCACTTATTTATTTTGGACAGGAGATCCATGAGGACAAGGATGTGTCTGTTTTGCTCCCTGCAGTATCCCTAGCATCTAGACCATAGCCTGGTGCAGAGCAGGCACACATGAAAACATACTGAGTGAATTAATACACTTTACCAGCTGCTGAGGGAAGTAGTAAGAAGCAAAAGATAAGGTCCCTCCCTGCCTCACGGAGTTTAAAATCTCACTGGGAAGACAAGTCACATACTCAGAAGAGTTAATGATATAAGGAATCTGCATTGATGCCAACTGGTGGAACCAGCTGTGGATTTCCTCTGAATTCAGGGAAGGGAGAGGTCAGAGTTTTGCCAATCGACGTGTGAAAGAAGAGGCAGGAGCTATGCAGAGCCTTGAATAATTCATAGAATTTCCTGTAAAACATTAGTGAATCAGATTAGCTGGTTGTCTCTTAGCAAAGTCCTAAGGGAGGGGACCCAGGATGGATAACTTTTGGTGGCGGAGGGGAGAGAGTGTTGGCCCAAGCCTGGGACCTGGCACTGCCAGGGGTGCTGGGCAGCCACAAAGCAACATGGAAGTTGGTGCAGCTGAGGAGAGGCACCCATCTTGACCAGTGCACAAGTCTTTGTAGAGGCTCCTCCTCAGAGACTCCCTGTCAGAGGAGAAACCTATCCTTACCCCAGACCCCTCCACACCTTCCCTGGGAACTCCTTGTCTGGGTCACACGTGCAGGAAAAAGACATGCAAATTCAGATGCCTGGCATGCTTTTCCTAATCCCCTGGCACAAATCCACCTGGTCATTATGTGGATGTCCATGTGTCCTCGCCTACTCTGGCACAGCTTCTGAAGCCCTGATGCCTCCAACTCAGCCACTCTGCAGTGTCCAGGGATGGAGAAAGCACTTTGGGAGTGCAAACTGAAGGCATTTAGAGAAGGGGCGGGATTGCGGTGGGGGTGTGGGGGGCAGCCCATACATAGCCTCCAGGAGGAGAATTTCAAACAAGGTTGAGAAGGAAACATCCCAGACCCACAGCCAAGAGGGGATAGGAACGGTCTGTATGAGGGGCCAGAACAGAGAAGCAAACCAGGTGGGAGGATAAGAAAGGGAGGGGGGCTCCCCAGGAAAGCAAGGTCAGTGGATGGGACTTTCAGGGGTTTCTCCCAGCTCTGACATTACACACCCCAGTCCTCCACACGTGGGTCCCCATCTAGCAGAATCAACATGGCCTGCAAACTCGGCTACGCTCTGTAACCTTCCCCAAGAAGGTTACACCTTTAGGGGTGGCACCTTGGGTCTTTTTATTTCACATTTGGTTCTTAGGGCAGCCCCCACCCCACCTTAGCCTGTAGGCAAAGAAGGCCATCTGCAGCATGTTTGGAGTCCCAAATGTCCCCAAGTGCCCCTTCAAAGCCTCTCCTCCATTCCTCTGTACACACTCATTAGGACTGAGGCATCCCACGAAGGTGTGTTATCAGGCGGGGGAGGGTGGAGAGGCGTGGAGGGGTGTTGCACAAAGCCATTAACAGGGTAAGCAGGGAAGCCCTTATCAGATGGGCTGCAGGTAGACCTGGGGCCAGAGGGAGGCCCGAGGCTGGGACACCAGATGGGTAAGTTTTGATGTCGGAGGGGCCTCGGAGGGCGAGGCCGGGACCCTTGTTCTCAGCGGACCCGTGTGGGGGGAGCGGCTGTGTGGTGGCCGCCGAGCGCGCCCCCAGACCCGCCCCCGGACGACGCACAGAGGACACTGGGCGCCGCCCCCGCCTCCTACAACAGCCTCCTACAACAGAGCGAAACTCGCCCGTGCAGCCGTCGCCCCGGCCTGCCTCTGACAGCAAGCCGCGTCCGGGACGCTGGGCCACCGCCAGAGGCGCCCGGGGGCGGGGCAGGCGACGTGCCACCTGCGCGCGCACTTTCCTCCCCTCTAGGGCTTGGCTGTCTGCGAAAGGCCGCCCCCAGGGGACCCCTCACCACCTTGTGGCATCCATGTCCCAGGCCCAAGCCCACCCCCCTCCCTCATGTTTATTAAACTAGCCCGGCACAGGTGCCAGGCTTCAGGAAACGCACCTGGCTTGCTGTAACAGGACCCGAGCTCTCTAGGGGGAGGTGGCTGCGTCGCTTCACTCTCCCGTTTCCTGAGCGCCTCCGCCTCCGCCCAAGAACCTGTGAGCCCACCGATCTCACTATCCCACCTCTGCGCCTTGCACGCGCTGAAGCCCCATTCAGTCCCGCCATCTTCAAGGCCGTGCTTATTAAACTCTTGCCGAGTTCCCGGTCCATTCTCACCACAGACATAACCCCTCATCTAAAGGCAGGTGGCACACCAGCCTTGATTGCATTA